TGATCAGAGTAATTGCTACTGTGGCATTGGACTACCTTTGACTTCTTTTCCTCTGGGATTTAAATATTCATGTTCAGATTGTCAGTTGAGGAATGGCCCAGGATGTCATGTTTGCCATGACTGCCATGGATCTGCCCAACTACTCTCAGGCCCCAGATGCTGGGTTTGGCATTTTTTTTCCTACCTGAAGAAGAACAAGCTTTGGATAACTCTTATTGCCATGGACAAATGCAGACTGCCATTCTGCAGGGATGGAAATCAACTTCTGCAGAAACTGGAGATCACCTTCTGCAGATCAAATTCTGCAGAGATGAAGGGCCATTCAAAGAGTCTGGCCCAGGTATCTGATAGATCCAGATGGAGTACACTAAAGGAATTTTATGCCTTGCCTATTATGGACTCCTGGCTGATTTGTGAAATATAGAGGTGGCCCAGGCAGTTACAACCCCTTGGTTTATGATGATAGATCATTTTCAAATATCTCAGGTGATCAAGAAAGAACATTCCAGATGCATTTGGATGAAACTGGACCCATTTCAGCTGGGGCTTTATCCAGTCTATGCTATTGAATTAGTTTTGCTTATCTTGGCAAATGAGCCATGCCAGAAATTGGATGTGGGGAGGGCTAATTCTCCTGTCTTCCTCAGTTGCTTTCAGTCCATTGACCACGATACCTTTCTGGGCCATCTGTTGCTCTTGGGCTTTGGGGCACAGTGGTTCCAGCCTTTCCTGTTGGATTATATCCAGAAGGTGATTCTGGGAGATTACTATTTGATTGGGTCATTGATGGTGGGACAGGTGAGCAGAGTGTGGGAGTGGAGTAACATCAGTTTGTGATGACCTCTATGTCTAGGGCTTCCTACCACCCAACTCCAAGGAAATAACCAGTATCCTTGAATGTTGCTTCATCTTGATAAACAGTTGGCTGAAGGAAAAGAAGCTGACAAAAATGGACGTACAATTGATAAGGAGAAAGCTGGACTTGGGGACTGAGGTGGAATTTGTTTTGGATGGGACTAAACTTTCCCAGAAAGAGCAGGTTTGGAGTTTGGGAGTCCTCGTTAAACCCCAGGTGTTAATAGATTTACAAGTCATAGTTACTGCATTATACAAGTGTTTTTCTGCTGCTAAGCAAGGTAGAAACTCAGTTGAATTTCTAGCTCTCTCTCTACCTAGAAGCCCTTCAGCTGCCTTTTAGTCGGTTGGGGAAATGTTGTCAGAGTTTGGGGCTAGGCAGGTAGTGGTTTTTTTCTGTATGTCTATGGGAAGGCAGAAGACTCAAACAGTGGAGAGGGAAAGAAAGCTAGATGCCTCCTGCAGGGATGCTTGCAAAGATTGGTGACAAGAAATGCTGATGGCGTACAGCTAGTGAGAGAAGAACCATCATAAAGACAGGGAGTAATTGGGATGTTTCAAAGTGTATTTGAGACGTGTGTGTGTGTGTTGCCCATAGTCCATGTTGGAACCCATCAGAACCCAGTTTGAAAAAAAACAACTTGGATTTGCACAAGTAGTTCCCAGGATAGCAATGGAGGCGAATATGTGTAGCTCAGGGTTGAACTGTGGAGTCCTTGGGGTTCTCTGAGCTTGGTTCTTTTCTTGCAAACTTTTCATTACCCAGCTAGGTAACATCTTCAGTGCTAAAATGGGATGAGGCTTACTCTCTATTTATCTGCTGTGGCCTGCC